GCGGTTTTGGCATGAACCAGCGCACTCCGATGGGCTCAGGCATGATCAGCATGTCTGGTAGCCAGACTAACATGCTGAATGGAGTGGGCGGCTCGGCTGGACCTCAAGAATGGGAATGGCTGACAATGAGTCTGTGATTTTACGACAGACAGTTGTTGCACTTCCGCACCTTGGGAAGGTTAATATGTGCTTGGAGTGTCAGCATTCCAACTTCTTTTGCTCATGGATCATGCCAGGGCTGGTTTTCCTGGCGAAAGCGTACTTGCCCTTTCCGGCACCAACAAAGTGACGACATGACGAATCTAACTAGTGTTTTTGGATGGCGTTTTGGGAGAACGCGGGGGTCGTTTTGTTTATGTTATTCTCACACGAGAACTTGATACCTCACACGGATATGGCAATACATGGCAGACTGTCTTCTCGACTTATGGATCTTCCAGGTTTGCCACATGATGCGCTCATGTCTTGCAGTGTCAAAAAGCGGCGAGCAAGTACACCTAGGATGATGACAATACCCGCACTTGCGAGCTGGGTGTGAACAATATGACACATGGGATTTGTCACGGTTCAACCTTTATGGCTCGTTGAAGATGCTCGGCTAATATGGCGCATGGGACATGAGATGTGGCAGGCAGGAACGCATTTAGGAATATTGTTTTGGAAATCACTATAGAGATTGGACATGGGAACCTCGACGACTAGGTTGCTTTTTGAAGCGCACTCAGGGCGGGTGCAAATACCCTTATTTTGACGATAGATTACACACTCCCGCGCGCATTCGAGACGTCGACGCACTTTTTCACGTTCTTGGATGGATCCTGCAGGTTCGGTGTGATTTTCCTATCCGCACCTATACTAGGGATTCCTTGTTTGGACTTCGTCGATCTCCTGTTGCTGGATATGGGGTTTGGTTTGGGATGCTGTCTTTTTTATCTGCTTGGCCTGGACGATATCCCGCGAATGATTGTATGCGGAAGAGGACAACGGAAGAAGAAGGCGATGAGTTAGACTGATGAGAGAGGAGTGAGGCGTGGTTTTCTGCTTCCCTGCTGTGCATCTTGGGTTCTGGTTTCTGTTTTCGCTGGCTCGCTCTGGATGAGAGATGAGGTTGTGGCGAATGCTTGGCTTTTGGAGCAACGGACGCGACAGCAGCGGGTTGAGCTCGTCCTTTTTTCTAATAGAGATGCCTTAAGAGATACCTTTTTTCTTTGATTAGTATTATTCTCACATTTACAACGGCCTCTTTAACATAACTCAGCTTTCCCTTGCATTTTCCGGTTGTAACGAAATTAGAGAGGGAGAGGGGACCACGAATGGCTCCTCGACCCATTTGCTCGTTCATCAGTGTGATATTTAATACCCAGTGTTCCCGCAAGCAGTGATGTGGCAGCTTGCTTAGTATGCTATCTTTAGCTGAAGAGGAAAATGTTGTCGAAGGGGTTATCGGGACAAGTAGATACGTATGAGCGGAGAGCTCTGGTTGATGATTGCCAGAAGTTGATTCGGGTCCTCTTCCATACACCTCGACCAATCTACCTACGTTCGAGACACACGTACCTTGAGACAATATCATCATCAAAGGCGAGATGGTTTCAATTGATAGCCACTGAGACCGCGATTCAAAGACATGGACCAGTGGAATTACGTCTTGTTAAAACTTATCATGATAGCATTTCTTTCTATCTATTTTGCTTACTCCTCCAACAAGGGTTTCAGACAGCCCAAATGTTTACCCTCTTCGGCCATTATACCCGAAGCCTAACCGCGCCAACTCATGCACGCGCAGACTCCCTTCCTAGGACCCATCCAATTCCGGTCCCGTTGAACTCCATTCGTCCAGTTAACAGCAAAACAAAGCAGTGGTGAAACATGTGACGGGAAAGTGTCACATGATGATGATACAGAAACGCCCTAGAAGAAGATATGGGCAGGGAAAAATAAAAGAAACAGGCCAGTTGACTTGTGAGCCACCTATCGTTGACATCATCCATCCTCCGACACTCCACTCGTTATCATCTCTGGCAGTTAGAAGAGGGCCCTCCCGCGGCTCACAAATCCCCGCCAGTCCAGCTTTCTGGGACTTGACTGCTCGCTCTAGAGCATGGTCCCAAATGTGTCATCTGTGGGGATGCGCTTTCGGGGACTGCCGCCATCCTCTGTGGCTGGCTTGCGGTGTCGGAAGGTGAAACCGACAAAGAGGGCCTTGCTCATCTGATCATCGCGGTCGGCCATGGTTTCCAGGGCTTGTTGCTTCTCGTGAACTTCCTTGTACTTGGCCATATCAGCTTCATTGCTGAAGTCGTCAAAGTACCCAGCGTCTGTCTCCGAGTCCAGCTCGGGGACAAACGGCGCCCGCGTTCCGCGAAGAGTCTCCCAATCAACCTCGGCGAAATAATGATGGCTGTAGATGTCTTTGATGTTGGAGAACCGTCGCGCCTTGGAGTTAATGCACCTGTTGTGGGTCAGTGAACTGCGGCTTCAACAATGATACAAGAGGCCAGACTTACGTGCAGATGAAATTCCAGGTTCGGTTGCTCAGGAAGTAGTTGGGATCTTCCCACACTGGTCTCTTCAGCACCTCCTTCCAGTGCTTCAGATTGCGCCAGGTCTCGTCCGGTGTGGCACCTGCGAAAGGAGGGAAGCCAGTGAGGGCCTCAAATAACATGCAGCCCAGGCTCCAGTAGTCAACGGTGAAGTCATATTCCTCCCCTCTAAGGACTTCGGGGGCCATGTAATCAGGAGAGCCCACAATGGACTTGGCGTAGTTGACGTCCTGTTCTCGCATAGTTCGGTAGCTTTCTCGTCGCTCGCTCACAGTTCGCTGATCGATGGGCTTGCCGAACGGTACAGGCGTCTCAGAAGCCTTCTCCAATTTGATCCGCATCGACTCGATTCTCGACGGGGCCAGCATGCCAGCAGCCAGGCCGAAATCTGTCAACTTGACGTGGCCAGTTGAATCGACGAGGAAGTTCTCGGGTTTAAGATCACGGTGAATGTAGCCCAGCTGGTGCAGAGCATCGACCGCACAGAACATTTCGGCGATATAAAATCGAGCATGTCGGTTGGACAGCACACCAGTGTTGTTAAGCAGGGTGCGGAAGTCACCACCTGGCACATACTCCATCGCAAGGTAGATGCTCTTGTCATCCTGGAAAGAGTAGAGCAGTCTAACGAGCCACTCGCTTTGCGCAGTGGTAAGAATGTCTCGTTCAGTGAGGACGTGTCGAACCTCGTCAAGCTTGAAGAGCAGCTTCTTGCTCATGACCTTGAGCGCGCAAACTTCACGCGTATCTTTCTTTTGGGCCAAAAAGACCTGGCCGTAACCACCTTGTCCGACCTGGGTCAAGATCTGGAAGTCCCCCTGACGGAGTCTGACTCGACGCTTGCGAAGGTTCGCACGCTCTCGGCCGGCGTACTTAGACCACATTTGGTTGTGTGTTTGCTCATCAGTCTCGGGAGGTTCGGGGTACTCTGACTTGAAAGCGGCTAGACGGTTCTGTCGAGAGCCAACGTATGTGAGAAGATCGAAGTAGTAATCGAGGAAGTCTGCGAGGTGTTAGAGGGTCAATCTCTTGCGAGTATCGCGTGTTTCAACACGTACAAAGTTGTGTAACGTTGACCATGCGTCGAACGTTGGGCTTCTGTAGGATCTCGCGCTCCTCAGCAGTCAGGCCTCGAGATGTATTAAACTTCTTGGCGGCGGGCGTGGTTGGCCGATCCTTGTGCTCATAGTGCTGTTGGCGAGAGAGGGCAGCATGGCTGTGCGAATGAGGCGATTCCGTAGCGCCGAGGCGGGACACGGGCGGGGTGTTCTCCTGGCCCTGCTTCCTCAGAGGACTGCTGGGCTTGGTCTTGTGGATGACGCTATCGTCAACGTTGACGCTCGACTCATCCAGGGGCTGAGCGTTGCTCTTGCCAGGTGAGAGCGGGGCAGCGAGACTCTGAGGCCGACCCAGCTTGAGGGGGGACTCGATGGTTGGGGGGTTGAGGGACATGGCGTTCTCGAAGGCGCTGGGCAGATCATGGGCGCCAGGAGGGATCGTCTTTTTGCTGGGGCTTCCCTGGGGAGTGCTTGTAGGGTTGAGGAAGCTGTCAGCCTTGGTGGGTGTCCCTGGGCGGGGAACGGGCAGCGCATCGGACGCGCCTTTTTCCTTGCCGCCAGGGAAGAAGTTGGACATGAAGCTCGCCATTATATCCGCTGGTGGATGTCTTCGGATGGGCAGTGGGAATAATAGTGACGAGATAGAAGTGACGCTGCAGGGTATGGGCAACTCCTGTACCTAGAGTATTGATGTTGGTGGTTTGGGCAGCAAGCGGTCAGATAATGGGGGGCCAGCGGTCAACGATCAACAGACAATGGCGGGGCACGAATAGAAGATAAGGAGAGACGTTGACAAAGTGAGAAACAGAGCTTTCGTCCTCGACCAGGCCTGCGAGGCGACGGGGCAAAGGATGGATAGAGATCCAAAGCTGTGGTGGGAGTTGCAGCTGGTGCAGGTACAAGTTACAAGTGCCGCATGCCGCCTCCAGCTCTGACGGAGTTGCTTTGGTGGGCTGCTTTGGTACCTGCCGCAAGCGAGGAATGTCATTGGGTGGGCGGGGTGAACAATCAACATGGTTGCAGCGGCAACAATCTTCCACGCTTTGGTGGGGGAGCTACGGAGTACAGTGCTATTGCTACACAGCTAAAACAATATTCACCCGGACATCAACCGCGTCTCAAGTTGAGACTCGGTGCGCCTCCAAGGCGCCGGGGCAACAAAGCTTTGTTATCGTTCCAATCCGTGACACCAAACATGTACAGCAATCGCGGATTTAACATCCCAAGCATGGGGAAATCACTCCTGGTTGTTGCAGATGTGTGAATTGATCGAGAGGAGTCATGGGAAGGCACGTAGAATTCCGTATGCGCGTTTCGATGGTGTGCCTAGGCTGGCTACAGGGGTCCACTCACCACTCCATATCTTGAGTTTACTCGGCCATCCATCACAACACATCAGGTCCCCGTGGCCTAATGGCTAAGGCGCAAGACTTCTAAGCGGGGAAACCCCACCATGATATCTTGAGATTGCGAGTTCGATCCTCGCCGGGGATTCAATGCCTCCGTGATTTATCTTTTTGCCCTTGTTGCTTATTTCTAGTTCGTACCTTCCACTTCTCACAAAGGGCCTGTACAAGAGGAAGGTATACAGGGTAACCATGGCGGTACTGGCTGTGCACACAGTTAAGTGCATCTTACAACAAACAGCCCGCTTCTTCAGCCACCCCCATCAACTGTGGACAATCCGTCATGGTGTTGCACAGGCCCGGGAGCATTGGCATGCTCGGTCTGGTAAATGGACGATGCATCGTTGTTCGTTATTAATCTGTGACAGTCGATCTGATGCGGGACCGGTCCGAGGGGTCCAGGTGCCAGACGAACGATCTGACTTACATACCTCCTCATCAGTAGAAATAGCTTCAAAAGTAAACGCAACCGTCATCTTTCATCAGCTCTCATTCTTATCCGCATAAATTTCCTTGTCCTTTCTTCTCATAGGTACAGTGAATGAACTGATCCCAAGAGGGCGCATTGAAGAAACCCGCACTTTCGTAAATCGCATCCTGCTCGCTGGGCACGTCACTTCTCAATTCACCCTCAAACATAAGCTCAAGCCAAAATTAGTCAAGGCGTTTTATTACGTAGCTGTTGTCTCCTCCTGGTGATCATGAGCTTGAAGTAAACAGCGGCGATAATGCCGAATGTCTCAAAGTCGTCGAATACGCTGGAAATGCCTGAGTTATTGCCAAAAACCCGACGTGAGACCCCCGTATATAGACCCCTGGAACCAATAGAGTGAGACGACTACAAGCGAAAACCTTTCGGCAGACGTCTTTCTTGACATGATATGTTCCATCAACTACATGGACCTAGGACATTGCAGTCCATGGCTCACATGCCTTGCGGGCATGTTGAACGAGCAGTATACAGTTTTTGGGGGACGACCGGTGTCCTGCACGAGCTCGTCCAGGTCGTACCACACATGGCCGACTGTGTAATGGAAGCCTAGATGGCTGAATACCTAGAGGTCCCACCAATAATGGGCATTCACAGTCTAGGGAACTGTATCGTTTCACGAAAATTTAGCTGCGACAGCGTCAACTTCCTCTCAATCAACACGAGCTATGAGCGGATCTACGCCGCGTTCGTCAGGTTCATGAAAGATCACTTGCACAAACCCTTGGGTGAACTACGTACTTGTCTTAATGTCAACTGGTCTAAGTGGCACCCCTGTAATTCTCATGAGTGCATATCGGGAAACGGGGATGGTGGTATGCTCGCAAGTCACTCGAGCATTGCAATGTCGTTTCTTACAACCCCACTTACTCAGTGGCTAGTACGTGTAGTATTTGATTGGGAATTAAAAAAATAAAAATAAAAAGGAGCTGGGCCTACCGCCATTGTCGTTTTTTCTGAGCGTTCGATGTTATGCTGAAATTTGAAAGTGTATTCGACCAGTGGCATGATAGCATTGTCCACATCTGTCCAGTCTGATTAGCATCCCTACAAAGTTCAGGACGATTATCTAACTGTTTTAGGTCCCTGGCCAATTGTCGGCGTTCACCGCCGTTGTTGATCTGTTTAATCTCATCATGGGGTCACATGTGTCATTGGTTAAGCTGGCTGGGGCATGAGGAAGAAGTGAACCAAATTGAACCACAGTTTACCTTCGTAGCACAACGGTGAAAATGATTTCAACCGCAAAAACTATTATGGTAAGGATGCCATGGAGCTGGTTTCAACCGATTGGCAACAACAATGAAAGAGTGTTGATAATGATACTGGTACTGGCGATGGGTAAACTTAGATGCAACGGCAAGTTGTGCTAGTGAACTGAACTAGAGCTGATTGTTGGCCTGGCTGGTACTTTGGTGACACAGTAGACTGAGATACTTGAGAATTCAGTACCGACCCCGTCAGTCACACCTTCATCCCAGACGGCCTCACTGATGACAAGGGATTGACTACCGCTCGGAGATGCGAATACGTCCCGAGCATCCGGTGCAATAGCATGGTATGTCGTGGGGCTATGCTCACCAATGTCACCGCTGACCAGCCGTCGTGAGTAAGATGGACCCTTGGCATCTCTGAACAAATGACTCGCCAAGTAAATAGTTTGTCCCCAAGCGGCCACAAAGCCCGAGCAGAGCTTTTGCTCTCTGTCTTGGCACCCGACGGACTGGGTGACTGTACGAGACGTACGGAAGTAATGCTTGTCTTCAGTTCCCGAGACAATGGTCGTGGATTGCCTAGTATGTACATCAGGAAGCGGCCGTGCGCGTCTACTGTGTAAGTGAAGGCGATGGTCCTGAGCCCTGATAGACTCATGTCTACATCACGGTGTATGTCACCAAGAGGCTCGTTTGCTGACCCGTTCAACAGGTGAATTACGATTCCCGCATCCAAGAATTTAAATGCCTCTATCACATCATGCCATTTGAGGCGGTAGCCAGCCCCAAGATGAGTTGGGGGACGCGCCAATGGCCACTCAACGGCGCAACCGGTTTCGGCCGGCTAGACAGGGATCTAATCTTATCAATCTAGCCTCGGCGGTGACATTCCGACCGTTGCATCATCATGGGATCACGCCCACCATGTTAGCGCGGCCACCTCCGCTCTGCCTAGCCTGAGTGCTTTGCGCGTGAGCGCCAAGCCTGGTTGCAATATTTTACAAGGCGCTGCCTCCCCTCTTCCATCCATCCTCGCCTTTCCCCTCTAAAAACCACTTCTCATGACAAGCTTGTTTCAGCTTGTCTTTGTCTCGACGACGACCTAGCGCCTCGTCGCATCAACCTCGACTCTACACGCTCGAACCCACACACGACTCTCCAGTCACTCCATCATGAAGACTACCTACGCCGTCGCCGGCCTGGCTGCGACTGCGCACGCCTTCAGCCCCTCCGGCATCTTTGCCCAGGATGTCGAGACCCAAGAGCACAGGATCCCGACCACCTTCGAGTCTGCCGTCATTGGCCGTCGCGTTCTCGCCCTTACCAAGCTCGCTACCATGTCGACTGTCTTTCCCGGAAAGAAATCCGATGGCAGCGCCAGCGAGACGGAGCTGGGACTCGAAGGCCTGCCCATCGGAATGATGGACTACGTCGCCGACTGCGAGGAGGAGGGCGACCCCACCATCCTCGAGATCAAGATCGCCACGACATTCAAGAATGCCCGCGCGGGGTCCAACCTGACCATCTCCATGAACTGGGTTCCTCCCTACCCGCCGGCGAGGCGCATGGCCTTCCTTTCACGCCTCTCGACCTACATTCCTTTCTTCGGCAAGTCCAACTACAACACCTCGCCTGCTGGCACGCCAGACACGGTCGCGTATTCGGCAGCCAACTTGCCCAGATTCGCTTTGATAGGGCGTCTCGAAGACATCAACCCTGACCCCGTTGAGGCTGTCAAGCTTGGTGCTTGTTTCACTGCAAAGCATCACGATAGTCGATGGTGGCTTCCCGGAAATGCCATCCACGAGAGCCAGTGGTCTCGACTGGTCGTCGAGAAAGTCTACTTCGTGGGCGGTTTTGGCGATAGAGCATACATTGGATGGATCCCGATCGAGGAGTGGAAGTCCGTAACCCGAAGCGACTGGGAGGCGATCAGGCTTCCAGGCGAGAAGCCGGGCTGGAGTGAGTGGTCGGCTCAGGTAGAAGAGGTGGAAGATCTGTGAGTGTAATGGCAAGTTCGGCAGCGACGACGAGTAAATAACATGTGTCGAGTACCTAGCGGAAAGGTCGTTTGTCAGTATGTAGCTGGAAACATATGAGAGGTGTAGTCATCCGGGTCAGCACTAGCAACCCCATGCGTCAACCGATCCCATAGCAATCTCATAGTAATATTTGACTTGATGAACTACATGGCCAGAGCATGATATGAAATGATCCATCCCCATACCTAATCCGCAACCGGCCACAGAGCCTGAGAACAACCGGTGACTCCAGATTACCTTGTTAAAGCTCCCCTAATTTCTATTACCATTTTTGCCTCACAATAGGCCATCCGGACAAAGTGTAATCTCGAATCCCTATTTTGACGGTCTTTAGGATGGTAGGGGGTTCATGATGGCAAAACGCGCAGAGCTCACATCCCCAGTCTGTCGCTGGTACCCCTCGGCTGACCACCGCAACGAAATTCTTACTTCTTTTCGCTAACTTATGGTTGAGGTATTGACGAATACCAGGTCATCAAGTGCGTATTATTTATGGTTCTTGAGTTCGAAACTATGGGTATAGAAGTGACTAATACAGCCAAAACATATCAATGTTATCGTGATAAAGTCTCCAACTTAGGTGTGGTAGGGGCAACGAAGAAGACCGCTCCGTACTTGCTTACCAATACAAGGTAAATTCTCTAACCCTAGCTACCTATCCATTCAAGCAGTGATAAATGCTCGCTTGATTCTCGAATTTATTTCAGTTTCGCCAGTCAATCACATCGCGCTCATACACCGAAGTAAGTCAACATCATCTCCGCGTCGGTCTCGATTCTCACCGGTTCAGATTTCCAAATTCATTTATATTGCCTGACTGAATACTCTCCGCCCTAGCTCTTTGCCGCATCGTCCATATTTGCCATGCCTTCCGTCTCTACTGTACCTTCCACCAATTCTAGAAAGTACGACATGTTTAAGGGGGCAGTAAACTACATGTTGCCTTGGATAGCTGTCTTTACTGTCACTGAGACCCCTCTCGTATACCATACGTGATCTTCACCCTCCTATACCTACCTCTATGAAAAGCTCCGGAGTATGGTCCTCCTGCGATGGGAGGCGAGTCACGATTCCCTGCCAATGAGATCTGGGCTTGGACGAGGCTTGCTCCTAGCATCTCGGATATTGATTAACCTGCATGTGTCGGAATCCCATGCCGCTATACGTAATATGCACCTCTGCTCACGGGCCTACTTTTGATTGAGATGTTCTGCCTGTCAGATTACCGAGTGAGCGATTAGCAGTTTTATGGACGCCATTGTTTCACGCATTGACCGTGTCTGTTGATCAGCCACGAGCGAAGTCAGTGACACACGTTAACGAGGACGCCGGTGCTGTACAA